AGAGATTTACACAGTTTTAGACATTCTACAGCTTGGGACAGACAAGGATGAAGGTAAGCATGTTCTTGTGCCATTCTGTAATCTAAGTTGTGTGTCTTTCAATACCTTTTTTATTTTATTTTTTAATGTTTCTAAGATGATTTAGAGTTATGTTACGATTAGTTTCGGCTATGAAGAACATCAAGAAGACATATGGTTTAACCAAGAAGGTAAGCTGGCACGGGGATCCATGTGCTCCTCAGTTGTATCAGTGGGAAGGTGTAAATTGCAGTTACCCGAACTCCGAGCCATCGCTGGTCATATCCTTGTATGTTATTTATTCTTTATCACAAGGTTCTATAGTTTTGGCTTTCAAGAAAGTTCTATAACTAGCATCGATACTTTCTATTTTTTTTTATCAAATAATAGGAACTTGAGTGCAAGCGGATTGATCGGTACCATAACATCTGAAATATCCAAGTTAACACAGTTGAAAGAGCTGTAAGCATCAATAAAATTAGTTTTACATATAATTGATTGTGGAACAAATCTGCTTTTTCTTTATTTAATGGACAGTGATTTATCGAGTAATGAGTTATCAGGAGAGATTCCAGCTTTCTTTGCCGATATGAAGCTGTTGAAACTCATGTAAGCTTCTTTGCACAACCTTTTTCTCGTATACTCTCTGCTCTTTCTGTTCTTAAAGATTCAGTTTTTTTTCTTCTCATTCACAGAAACTTAAGAGGAAATCTGAAGCTTAATCTCACAGTTCCAGAGTCTCTTCAGGAAAGGCTAAACAGCAAATCTTTAACACTAATGTAATTTTTCTACTTCACTTAGTTCAAATCAACTTTTTCTGGAATCAGTTGGAAAGTATTTGTAATGCCACACTTAAGCTATCATAACTTTTAATGGCTACAGTCTGGGCGATACCCTGGATCCCACGACTCTCGGAGGAAAAATTAAAAAGGTTCCAGTGCTTGCTATCGCAGTGCCAGTGGCTGGGGTGTTAGTTATCGTGGCCATCTTTTTCGTCGTTAGAAAAGGAAAAAACTAAAAACAACGGGGCTATGTTTGACTCACCAGACCGAGTTCTTGAGATTTTGTAAGGAAAATGAACATATTTTTTTAAAAAAAATTCAGCTCCAGGACCTCCATCAGTCACTACGAGTTTAGTTAATAGTGAGACTAGACCATCCAATCCATCAATTATAACAAAAGACCGCAGGGTTACGTACCCCGAGGTACTGAGGATGACTAATAACTTCGAGAGGGTTCTTGGCAAAGGAGGCTTTGGAACAGTGTATCATGGAAACCTGGATGATGCTCAAGTAGCTGTTAAAATGCTCTATCATTCATCAGCTCAAGGTTATAAAGAATTCAAGGCAGAGGTTTGTTAAAAGATATGTCCTTACTATTAATCTTTGTTTTTAAATAATGTTAAGTTTCTATAAATAATCATGAAATTGTAACTTTGTAATCTTTATCAGGTTGAGCTTCTTTTAAGAGTTCATCATAGACATTTGGTGGGACTTGTGGGGTAGTGTGATGATAGAGATAATTTGGCACTGATCTATGAATACATGGCAAACGGAGACCTGAGGGAGAATATGTCCGGTAAACACTTTGGCTAAAGAGACTCTAATTTAGTTGGATCGATCTCCTTCCACAGTTAAAACATTCAAAGCTCATTATAGGAAAACGTGGAGGCAATCTCCTAACCTGGAAAAACAGAATGCAAATAGCTGTAGAGACAAGACAGCACAAGGTTAGCAAAACTCTGACTTATTCTCTTTATCTTTGTCTGATTCATGAAAACAAAATGTTGCCTATATATTATGATTATGATGTTTAAAAGCAAAGACTTGCATAATAATAACCATTTGTAACAGGATTGGAGTATCTGCACAATGGATGTAGGCCTCCTATGGTCCATAGAGATGTGAAAACGACCAACATTTTATTGAACGAGCGGTCTGGAACAAAACTAGCTGATTTTGGGCTTCAAGATCTTTCCCAATTGATGGTGAATGCCAACTTGACAGTGGTTGCAGGCACACCTGGATACCTAGACCCCGAGTGAGTTGATCGAATGGGTAATCATGAATGTTGGCTGTCTTACTTAAATCAGTAATCAAGAATGTTTGTGTAACCTCTCTATATATACTATCGCAGGTACTACAGAACAAATTGGCTACGCGAGAAGAGTGATGTCTACAGCTTCGGAGTAGTGCTATTGGAGATAGTAACAAACCAGCCAGTGATTGCTAAAACCAGAGAAAGACCTCATATCAATGAATGGGTTGGGTTCATGCTCACCAAAGGAGATAGTAACAAGCTGATGGGGGACTATGACACAAATGGTGCGTGGAAGATTGTAGAGCTGGCTATGGGTTTGTGAACCCATCTTCAAACCAAAGACCAACAATGGCACAGGTTGTGATGGAGCTAAACGAGTGTGTGGCCTTGGAAATTGCAAGGAGACAGGGTAGTCAAGAGATGTACTCAATGAGTTCAGTTGATTGTAGTCTCACTTCTGCTTCAGAGTTTGCTCCGGGAGCCAGATAACTAAAAAAATATGTTATATTTGATTTAATAAAAAAAATCCTTTTTGTTTTTTTTTGGCATTTTATCTTCCTTGCGAAGTTCCCAATTTAATGTTTTTGAAAAGAATCCAATTGTTGTTTTGTTCTTTGTATTGAATTAATAAGACTCGGATGAATTTTCCTCGTGATAAACTATATTGTTTTACACAAAACATAAGGTATTACATTTTGTGTGCTATGGAAGAACCAAAATATATCTTGCATATCAATAATTTCTGATTAGTTCATATCTTTTATTTCAAGTTACCGCTGGTTAGTTCAAGATTGATCTATATCTAGCTAAGGGTGTTGAATGATTGTTTAGTGTAGACGAAAAGTTTAAATTTATTGGCAAAATGATGGCTTATATCTTTATATATATATATGTGTATTTTTGGTACAGTCTGTGGAGATTCTATAACTGTTCTAATGTAGAAGTATGCTTTTTGAATATTTAGAAAGAATAGTTCAGCGAACAGTGTATGTTTAATGTCCTACTTGATGGTGTCAAAATAATTTTATTGGAAGGAAACAACTTGTCACAGTAGTCTGGAGAATATCAATTACATACATTTTATATAATTATTTAGAAATTAGTTGTTTTGCCCGAATTTGCGGGCATAATATTTTTATAAATACTTATTTTGTATGTTTTATTAATTAAAAAAACAGTACAAATTATAATAGAATAATATTATTTCCTGAAGTAAAAAATTAATTATACATAAAATCACAATATATAAATATATATATAACTTATCATGTTGTTGCAGTATTATTTCTAGATAACAACACAATATTTTAAAAGTATCATATTTTATGAAAAGTATGCTTTTATTTTCAAATTTTGTATTATATTAATTTATAATCAATTATCTATTATAACATAAAAATCTAGTAATATTATATAAATTATTTTTAAATATACGATAAACTATATATATATATATTTTTTTTATTAAGGATTGTATAGATATTAAGCATTCTAACTTTTAACATCAAATCTCGAATGCGAAAATTTACTTTACAAATAATAGTATAGATATCCAAGAAAAAATAAAGAGATATACATTGTCTAATTATTATCTTTTGTTATCATATATTGTCTAGTTATATCTAATGTTAATATGAAGTAAGTATTAATATCAAGCACACAGCTAGTAAGAATTAAAAATCAACAGCGGACGAAAATCATTAGAGGTTGTTGCTTAGGCAATTGGCATGCACAAAAGAATAGTACACAACTTAATTGTTTTTGAGCATTGACATTTGACGGTAGAGATTCAATAAGTGAACGACAAAGACTAAGAGTAAGAGCATCTCCAACCCCACTCCAAAACCCACTCCAAACTCCATTTTGCAGTAAAATCATTTCCAACCCTACTTCAAAACTCACTCCAAAATGGAGTAACAAACATGATTACTCCAAATATGGAGTAAACCAACTCATTACTCCAAAATGGAGTTGAACTTTTTTATTTATCAAATAGTCCTCCACATTTATATAGGTTTCATTTTTAATAAAATATTATTATAAATAAATACTATATATATTATAAAATTTACTGTTATATTTCTTAATTATATAAATAGCCTCATTTTTAATAAAATATTATTATAGATAAGTATATTAATATTATTTTACTATATATTAGAAAATTTACTGTTAATATTTCTTAATTATATAAATAGCCTCGTCTTTAATAA